CAAGGCAATTAATATTTTCAGCATGAGAGAGGCACAAGATGAAAAATTGTGTACAGGCCAAGGGTTAAAGCTTTCATACCAAACCTTGGTATATAAAAGTAAAGTCTTTTACTTAAAGCAAAATCAGTAAAACCAGAGTTGGCCTAAATTGTGAGACTTACAAGTGAAATTCAGCTGAGAAGGATCTGAAAGTTCTGCCTAGCTGTTTGTATTCTTTTCAGTTTTGCTCCAAAAGACACGACAGTTTTTATGCGTGATAATTTGGTAATAGGTAGTTTAATGTTTTTCTTAATCATCTGTGTTCATAGAAAAACATATTTACTAAGTTTCTAACGGAGAATTTTGCATGCCCCTTCACCTGTAACAGTCTGCCTCGCTGTTATGAAGTTCTACAGCAATCTCCATTCCTGGGGAGAGGCGAGTCAGTGGGTCCATTCAGACACACACCTGCTGAATTCCAGGCGTATATTGAAGAGAAAACCATTTCTGAAGGACAAACTCAAATTTGTAAAGGGACAGAAATTTGACAGCATGTGATGCTTTACACGTAGTATGTATAAAGAGAAAGGTTGATAGATTAGGAAAAGTGAGGTAAAGTTCATTTTTGGAGCTGGCAGCCGAACCACCTAGGCTCCCACTCCTGAGCGCCAGTGGGACCCTTTGGGGTCTTTATTTTCTCTTCTCTGTTCTTGGAGGTTTAAAAGAGTGTAATAAGTGAGGCCCTGCTGCACTGTGGAGTTGCTGCCGCTTTCCAGATGATAGGTTACAGCATTCAAAAGTAAAACCACTGTATATTTCAGTGTAGCCTGGAGTTCTAAAAGGGAATGCATGATTGGTAAGGCACAATGTCCAGAGGGACGCTGTGCGGGGAGAGTCTGAGAGAAGAGGCTGAGGATGCACTTTCTGCATCCAGTATCTCCTCTTTGCTGGCTCAACTCAAAACCTCAGAGTCACCCTTCATTCTTCGTTCTCTCGCTACCGCTTCTAAGCCATTGATAAGAGCAGTCGGCCCTTCCAGCAAAATGCACCCAAGTCCCACCATTTCTCTGCATCTCCAGCACCATCACCTAGGCCCAAGCTAGATGACTGCAATAATGTCCCCACTGTCCCGGTACTACTCTTGATCATCTACTGCCTCTTTCCACATGGCACCCAGAATGAGTCATTTAAAAGGTAAGCCAGATATCAGATCATGTCCTGCTCTGCCTGAGGTGTTTCTCCGCTGCATCAGATCAGCCTGAACCTCTCGCACGGCTTTGGAGGCCCTGTGCACCTGCTCTGGCCTAGCCCTGCTCTCATGCCCTAGCCCTGTCCCCCTGCTTCTCTCTGCCCCCAGCACACAGGCCTCTTTGGATTCTTCCACAGTCAAGTGCATTCCGCCTCAGAGATTCTGTACTTGCTAGAAAGCTCTTTCTTCTGATTTCCATACATCTAGTTCCTTTGACTCACTCAGGTTTCAGCCCAAATGTTGCATTCTCAAAAAGGTCTTTACTGACCTACAGCCAAAGCAGCGTCCCAGTAACTGTAACTGTAACACTTGTTGCTCCTTGATGTATCCATTCTGGTTGGTTTGCTTTCTTGCTCCTTGTCTGTCTCCCCACTGAAATGTCAGCTCCAGGAGAGCAGGTGTATCCAGTGCCTGCCACAGTACCCGGCACATAGTAGGTGCTTTCTAAGTAGCTACTAAGTGAATTAATATCTCCAAGGTTTCTTCCAGCTCTGTGCCTATGATAAAAGTATGGTCCTGAAATAAATTCTTCCCTTCAACTCTCCGAATTCTAAGCCCAGTCAAGACCACCCTTCTTCGCAAAGCCTCCCTGACAGCCTCTACTTCACTGCTCTCCTCCTTGAACCCCTTGCAGTAGTTTAATTCTCCCCCACGACATTTGGTGCTGTGCTATCCATTCTTTGGTGTCATTCACGTTTCTTTTTCATGTATACTCATTAATTTTAAGTCCTTAGCAACTCTTAAGAACATGTATTTCACTCAAATAAATTAACCCATTAAATAAAAGCACAACCTTGGCACAAAGCTTTCCTTCCTAGGTGAGTAGATAGTTCTAAAATTTAGTGTATACTAAGCTTGGAAGCTAAAACCAACTGGGGAGCTTTGCAGGACTGACTGGCTTCCGCTGCTGGCCTGTATGGTTGCTCTGCGAATTAGAAGCAGGCCCCTCCTCTGGGTGTTCACACGAGGGCAGGAGACCTGGCTAGCAGAGTGCAGGATGGAGTTCAGCTCTTACTCGGCCACTCCAATACCCACCTTTGGGAGCAACCTGGACAAGCAAACACAGCAGCCTGGAGAGAGGGGTGATGGCAAAGGGAGAGAGGAAGAAGCAGAGGGGAGCAGGAAGAGAGCATGCTATGCGTTTTCTGGCACTGTCCCTTTTCTCTCCAGAAGTCTAATGGAAAGTGAGGCAAGGCGAATGCTTACCAGAGGCACATCCCAAGGGGCATCTGTGCAAAGTGGGCACAGCAGGGGCTAGCTGCCCAGAGGCTGCAAAAGCAGAAGGGGCAGTGGTTGGGAAGACAACGGCAGATCAGGCTCTTGGCCTTTTATGTTTCAGAGGAGAAGCAAGCAGGAAAGAGGTATCGACAAGAATAGAGACAACAGGTCAAGTGACCTCAGGGGGTGTCCTTGGGAGACAGGAGCTGACCCATAGAGGCAGAGCGGGGAACAGGAGGTAGGAGGAGCTGAGAAGCAGAGCTGATTTAGTCTTGAGTGGGAAGCAGCGGGTGGAGGGTAGAGACACCAGCTTTAAAAGCACACTATCCTTGGGTAAGAAAATGGAAACCAGAGATAGTGAACAAATGGGGGGCCTTAAGAGCTGGCTTTAAAGGCCTAAGTGGTAGTGGTGGGGGAGCTGAGGCAGGACAGCCTCAGTTATTTATGGACCATAAATAGACATAGAAGCAGCTTAGGGACCAAGAGAAACAAAGGCCTGGGTATGGAGGAAGGTAGAGAAGGGAGACCACATGATCAGGGAAAAGAATATGCACTAAAAACATCTAAAAAATCCTGAGGAATCAGTAGTGTGGGAATAGCTCTTCAGTTTAAAAACAAAACCATTCCAAGAATCCTCAAAGTTGCGTCAACAGAGAGGCCTTTCTATCACGGCCAATAGGGTGACATTAGTAGCCTCAATTAGTCTTTTTTTTCCCTTGACCTGCTTCTTTTTGATTTTATTAGAGCAACAAAGAAGAGAAAAGCCATGAGTATATTTAGAATACTGAAATTTGAGCTTATTGTCATAGGTGTGTGTCTGCCCCACTGCCGTGTAGAGGGGACAGGTATGGGACTGGCTGCAGCTATGTGGAGGGAGGTGCAGGCGGGTGGGACAGGCTCTGCTCAGGGCCCAGAGAGATTTGTTTTATAACTGTCTTTTTCTTTTGATCCTTAATAATAATAACTCTCCTTATAATAATCCTATGAGTAGAGAGACTCACATGGTGGACCTTCATATCCAGCTTCTACAGGGATTGACAGTCTGCTCAACTTATTTCGTTTATTTTCTCTGCCCTCATTTTTTGAGGATGGAGTATTTTAAAGCAACCTCTAAACATTTTAGACTCTAGCTATAAAAACTTCAGCATTTTTAAAAAAAACTACAATGTTATTATACTAAAGAGATTAGCCAAAACTATTTAAAATCATTTAGTTCCCAGTCTATATTCAATTTTTCTTCAATTACCTTAAAATTTATTTGTTCATTTAAACTCTAGAATAGGTCCTCCCATTGCATTTGGTCAATATTTCTAGTACATCTTTGAAATTCTGTAACAGTTTCCACCAGATGGGTTTTAAGACTTCAAAAGGCTCGGTGCCTCACACCTGGAAACACCCTGCCTGCTCTTCTGTCCCAAAGTCCCAGGGAGCCCCATCCATCCGATTGCCCTTGTAGAGGGAGATGAGAGAATGGGATGACAGCAGGGAGCCCGCTTCCCCAGGACAACAGAAGATGGCTGCTAGTGTCCTTGCAGACAATCCAGCAGAGAACTCGTGGAGGGAATGCAAAAAGGAAAACCTAGCTTTGCTCATAAATGTGGAAGATTGTTAGCTACCTAACGTGGTCACTAACCCAGATACAGCCTAAAATACACAGAAATGTCAGTATGCTCAACAGTCCCTTTATGTAATTGACTGCAAACTTGAAGCTGGTGATAATACCTGCAATTCTGGGTAAAAGGAAGGCAGGCCCAGGGATGGTACAGGATATGGGGTTTCATGAGGCAGAGAAGTGAATCCCCGAGGGAGGCTGAAGGAACTCTGACATGAAAACCCTCTCAAAGGAGAATGCTTGCCATTACATATTGAGTAGAAATGGAGAAGACTGAGTTGGTACCAGCTCTCCTTATAATAAGAGACCAGGCAGCATTTTACAAAGCAACAAGTGGGACATCTGTGGTTGCAGCTGTCCTTGTACTCAGCACTGCCTCCTAAGTAAGGGCAAGACAGATTTGGAATTTACTATTATTATTTAGTGAGCATAATGCTGCAACACATGTTATACTAATAAGTTACATAAATTAATAATGATTTTACAACATAGGATATAATAAAACCTTAAATGTATACAAGATCCATCTTCCAAAGGACACAAAAGCTCTGCTCAAACACAATTTATTTAATCTTATTATTTTATTTAATCTTATTAATTTATTTGATCTTACTATTATTATGAGGAAACCAGGAGCAGAGTTTTCCCCCAGATGGTAATTGGTAATCGTCTTGGTACAGAGACAAGAGACATTTAGCAATGCAAGAAATTGCAGTCTCTGCCTTGTAGAGAAAAATTGCAACCATCAGTCCCTAATACATGGCTAACTTCCATACGGCTTTAGAACTTGGATCTCTACCCTCCAACCTCCCATCTCAGGGTTAGGCAGTGAGACTGGTACCTGTAGTTTCTGGGTTGGGGTAGGCACTCTTATCCTCATTTTCATTGGGCTGGAGGTCATCCATGTTGATCTAGGTAGCCAAGGGGGAGGAGGCAGAATCCAGTTAGATATATTCCATAGTTTTAGAGAATTGGAGTAGCCCTGAAACTGAGTTATAGTCAGTGGCTGAGCCGTTGACTCAAAAATATATCCTGTTACTTTGCATGGACCGTTCAAGACATTAATAGAAGACTGGGATCCAACCCTTCTGCCTGCTCTTCACGTCCCTAAGCTCTCCTGCTCAACCCTTGCCGGCTTTACTCTGCGTCTCTTTCCGTCCTTGCTCCTTCTGTGGGGATCTGGCCTGGGAAGGCTGCCTTCTTTCAGCAAGGGCTCCCCTAGTTCCTGGGCCGAGACAGTGCCTCACCTTGGTGGTGGGTGGGGACTCTCCATCGGCTGTAATGGATTTCAGCTCAATTTTCTCCTCCTTGGTCTCCTCCACTGCCGGCTTCTCTATCACCTCTTGTTTCTTCTCTGGGCTGGCAGTCCTGGCCGGTCAGCAGGAGAAAAAAATAAAGGGATGTTTACTGGAGTGATAGGGAACCACCCTGTGATCTGCCGGGGGCCAGTGAGAGCAGATTCCCTGGGCCTACATCCACCTTCCTTCACCCAGGGCACATGCCATGTTTGGCTTGATCACAAATGCTATTAGGTCAGGCCCAGGATCCAGGCACCTGGTCACACCTTGCCCTGTCTGGCACTCGGTTGGCCTGCTCCAGTCCATCTAAATCGGAGAAAGGTTCTGGATCCCATTTAGGATTGGCTCCTGGAGAACTCTGTTCAGTACCCAGCAGATGTATAGCCTATGATAGCCCTGTCTAGACAATGATGGAGGACAACATAGAGCCCTATTTCACCTTCTTAACACCAGAGACAAATTACAAAACAGTGAGGAGGAATCTCTTTCAGCA